TACCCATACAGATGCTTACTTGAAACCGGATTCCCACCACCATCCATCCCAGAACAACTCCCCCATCAAGACTCTATACCAGTGGTTCTTAACCTTGTTGGAGGTACCGAACCCCACCAGTTTCATATGCGCATTCACGGAACCCCTCTTTAGTGAAAAATAAAGTGATTTTTTTCAAATTCAAGACATAGATATGTTTTTTACTGGTACACAAAATGAGCCGTGCATGAACATTACCTTGTTCAAAGAATAAAACCAACACAATGCATAAACTCACAACAAATTACATACCTGGAAATCAATGTGACTTCTGCTGTTGCCTTTGAGAGATCAGTTCAGATATGCGTGGCTTCACCTTGGCAAGTGCCACTCTCATGTCATTTTCACAGCAAAGTCTGTTCCTTTTCTTCGTTTTTATGTCCAGCATCCTCGAAAAGGATTGCTCACAAAGATATGTTGTAACAAATGGTATAAAAAAATCCAGGGCTTTCTTAGCAATAACTGGATACTTGTTCATTTGTCGACACCAAAACGTTGAGAGCGTTGTTGTTCTGAAGAGTTGCTGTTGAACCTGGCTCTGCTGAATTTCAATGATTTCGTCGAGGAATTCTTCATTGACATCTGCTGTTTCAACAGCAAACGTGAACGGCTGTCTCACCCATGCTGGATATGACTCTCTTGTAGGGAAATATCCGTCGAGAGACTTTGCAAGCTCATCTAAGTGCGTGGCAATTGTTTGCTTCAGTTCCGTGGATACAGAAATATCTCCGATTCCAGACACATCTTCGATCTTACTTGCACAGTCGTCCAGAAGCGGGAAGTTTGCAAAGTTATTGTTCTCTGTTCATCGTTTCCATAACGGTAGCTTTTTTTGAAAAGCCTTCAGGTGTTCTTCCGCTTCCATGATATTGACTCCACCACCCTGCATCTGCTGATTGAGATGATTGAGAGCTGCGAATATATCAGCCATGTACGCTAAAATGAGAATGAACTCAGGATTTTTGAAGCAATCTGCATGGCAGTGTTGGTGCTCTTGCAAAAACAGGGCTAATTCCACACGCATGGCAAAAACACGATTCAGCACCTGTCCCCGGGATAACCACCGAATATTAGAATGGAGCAGAAGTACCTCAAATTCAGAGCCCATTTCTTTACACAGCTCACTGAAGATGCGGTGCCTCAGAGCACTTTTTCGCACATAGTTCACACATTCCACCACAGTTTTTAATACTTCTGCCATTTTTGGAGGTAAGGTTTTTGTTGCCAACGCATGCCTGTCCAGAATACAATGCGTCACAATGATGTGTGGTGCATCGGCCTTTACTAGCGCACCAAAACCAGACTTTCTTCCCAGCATGACTGGAGCTCCGTCCGTACAAACTGCAGAAACCATATCCCATGAAAGATTGTTGTCTCTGAAGAAGTCATCCACAAGCTTCTTCACATCGGCTGCCTTCGTTGTTGTTGTAAGAGGCTTACAAAATAAAAACTCTTCTTTTATCATGTCGTCTTTCACATAGCGTACAAAAACAGCAAGCTGGCTTAGATCAGAAACGTCTGTGGTTTCGTCGAGTTGAAGGCTGAATTTTGCCGGGCTTGAAATCAGATCCGCGACTACTTGAGCCAAGATGTCTTTACTCATGTCTTCTATTCTGTCACTGACGGTGTCATTTGAAAGGGGAATTTGGGATAATTTACCTTCGGCCGCTGTTCCGAGTATCAGATTCGCCATCTTTAATGCAGCTGGTTTCACAAGTGTTTCACCAATGGTGTGTGGCTTGCCCTGCTTTGCGATCAGGTAAGCAACTTCGTACGATGCTGTCAGGATCGGTTTGTTAACAGGTACAAATCCAAGAGCAGGCAGAGTGGCCCTTTCATCGAATCTGGCTCTCTTCACCCTGAATTCAGCAAGTGTTGTGTTCTTGTATTCCCCGTCTCCATGCAGCTTCAAGAAGTGTTCCTTTAGTTTTGCCGGTGCAAGACTAGAGTTGCTCAACTTGGCGTTGCAAATCATGCAGATAGCACGCTCACTCCCATCACGTTCCGTGATACATGAGAATCCATGTTGTACATATTCGTCCGACCACTTTCTTCTTTTGCCCAACATAGTTAGTATGGATAAAATATTAAAGAAATCACACGACGTACGACAACAACAGTCACACGTTGACTACTGAGTACGCACTAAATTCCCCGCAGCGCTGATTGGCCAAGCAGTGTAGCATGATCATCTGCAGCCAGTGATGGCCAATCGGGCCGTGTGTGTCATCACAAATTTACACAATAATTCAAGTGTGTCCGGACCTCCGTGGCGGGGGCTCTGCCGAACCCCTGAGATCGACTCACCGAACCCCTGGGGTTCGATCGAACCCAGGTTAAGAACCACTGCTCTATACCATAGAGCCCAATGCATTTCCGACCAGGAACACATTACCAGCAAACTCAAGCACGTACACCCGGCTCTCAGGGCTAATGGTTACTCCGACTACACAATCCGCAAAGCCATCACTCCAGTCATGAAGAAGGATCCTCTTGTGGAACCACTCAAAACCATCACCTTACCCTACATTGCAGGGGTCACTAAAAAGATCTCCAAAATCCTAAATAAACACAAGATCCAGGTCCGATTCAACACAGTACATAAAATCCGTGATCTGGTTCCATCTGTAAAAGATGCTGTTCCAGACATACAGTACCCGGGCGTTTACAAACTAAAGTGCCTCTGTGGTAGTAGCTACATTGGAGAAACCAAACGACATATCTCGGACCGCATCCGCGAACATAAAGCAGACTTGAAACACGGTAGAACGAACTCCTCTGCCGTGACAGATCACTGTTATAATTCAGTGGGCTCACATGACATTGACTTCTCCAAGACGGAGGTTCTTTGCAAACCAACCGGCTACCATGAGAGATTCGTTCATGAGGCCATTCACATATACAAGCACAGAGACAATTTCAACCGAGAAGATGAATTCTGGCTTAGTAACCATTGGAAAGGTGTTTTATAACATTTTGGTTCTTAATTGTATTTTACGATGACCTTCAGACCCCATCTCTTTCGCTGGCATTGACTCTTAATACCTCTCACCACGGTTAATGGTATGGTTTACAACATGGAGTATAACAGCGCCTCGCAGCTGTCTCTCCCCCTCCTCCGTTCGGACCATGGATGAACACGTCCGTCTGAACGGGGCTCGTAGCTATCCGTGGTGCTGAAGTTGAGGGTAAGAATCCACCCATTTTTTCGCCATATAGCATTGTGATATATAACGACTTATTGTTGGTAGCTTAGCTGATTGGAGAATATAGAGTTTATTGATAACATTAAGGTAATTTATATTTTAGTTTTTTATTGGTTCACTATGTAGTATTCATTATATATTGTATTGTATACCCAGTTACAGTGAATAGCTCAGATGTGTATGCCTTGACTTCAACATAGCCATTTCTGTGACAAGTCACTAGCTAATCACTCAGTTATTTCAATGCTAAATTTGCCTAGTTATTTCAATGCTAAACTCTCCTGTTTGATTTGTACTTGGTGCCTCTGTGGATGTATAGGCTTTGACTTTAACATAGCTATTTCTATGACCAGTCACAAGCTAATCCCTCAGTTATTTCAATGCTAAATTCTCCTGTTTGATTTGTACTAGGTGCCTCTGTGGATGTGTAGGCTTTGACTTTAACATAGCCATTTCTGTGACCAGTCACAAGCTAATCACTCAGCTATATCAATGCTAAATTATCCTGTTTGATTTGTACTAGGTGCCTCTGTGGATGTGTAGGCTTTGACTTTAACATAGCCGTTTCTGTGACCAGTCACAAGCTAATCACTCATCTATTTCAATGCTAAAATTATCCTGTTTGATATGTAAACCCCATTTTTGTCAAGGTGCCTCACTTTTCTAAACCAGCTTAAAAGACGCTACGAATCTTAACGTTCATTGAAGCTCTGTCGTCCCGACAGGTCTGTTCCTTTCACCTGAAGAAGGCCACGTGTTGTGGCCAAAATATCGACTCCTAAGTTTGCATTAATATTATTTTCATAAAACCTGTTCGCAAAGCACTCATTGAATAAGGCTTGCATACAAAATATCACTTGCTTTAAACGAGGCAAGTAATTGATGCCGATTTTGAATCAGGCATGCATTGCCTGGATCTGAGTATGTGTGCTAAAGTTGGGATCGATTGGACAACGGGAAGTGGACGAAATGTAGATTACAAGATTTGAACACGGCATACAGAGGAATTAAGTTTAATAACTCGATTGGACAAGGTGAACAGGGTGCCATTTTGATTACACGATTTGACGATATCCAAACAGGAATGAAGTTTAATTAAAAAAATTCACAATTTCGTTTAACTCAACGTCAAGAAGTACGTCAATGATGCGGCGCCTACTGCCATATCATCGCTTGCCTGATTTAATTATTTTATAAATGAATCTGCCTGAGACACGTGGCGCGTGCTTCTTGGGCGAGACGATTCGAGAGTGTAGGGACCGCGGCGTTTTTGACCTACACAAATATATAAAAATAAGGCGTCCATACAAAATGTTAATTGCTTTAAAGGAGCCAAATAATTGACTGACTGATGGCGATTTTGATACAGGCATGCATTGTCACCGGAACTGAGTACGTGTGCAAAATTAGGGATTGATTGGACAACGGGAAGTGGACGAAATGTAGATTACAAGATTTGACCACGACACAGCTTTTAAGTTAAGTAAAACCATTGAAAAAAAGGATAATCATCACTGGTGATGGCCGTGTACGTACCCTCTGACTTTTTACGATTTTTTAGTTCATCGAATATCTACCTCAACACTACCCAAAATTTTACAAATATAACAGAAAATTTGAAAAAACAAACTGTCAAATCTCTCTCCGTGGTGCTAACGTTAAAAATAACCGCCACTTTTTTCAAATGTTCTTGTTGTGGTTTTCACACCTGATGATGATCGCTTGTATTGCAGTTGAAACGTCGTGAGAATTGTATTGTTTTATATTTTTATTATTTTATTGTTTCCCTTCTACATGACTTTACAGAAAGAACCAAGAATATGAATCCCTGCAGTCACGAAAGCTTTAAATCCAAATTTTACACTTCAATTATTTATGGTCTCAGCCAACAGCTTTTGGAGAAGTTTAGGCCTGGTGTAATGCACGGTAAACAAACATTCGGAATGACTGCTTTCTGATAGAAATAAATATAACAATGTATAGTGGTATAAACAATTGGATACAATATATTTTACATTAGTTTAAATTACGGATGAGGTCAATATTCTATTAAATGAAAGAACCATAGGAGGTGCAGAGCGTATATACAGAGATACGATACAGGTGCGTTAGAAAACGGATGACATTGCGATATAGTACTGAGAGAAAACGAACTAGTAATCGGGTAGGGGAGGCACAACTCTTTCTGGCTAATGGGATTTTATCTCTGTTATGGGAGAAAACTGTTCAGTTTCTGACATACGGAAATTTGGGTTGTGGATCTGTGGAACCCAACCCTTCCATAACCCAACCCTTCTAACTACGGGACTGCCTGTATTTCACTTTGACACTCAATGACTTCATATGTACATAAAGCTCATCTCTGATTGGATGACACCGACACCCATATGCATTTTTTTAAATGACAGAAGCCTGTGAATAAGGCGAATGCTTTTGAAAATGTCTCAAACCTCTGGTTACACATCTTCCAAGGTGCTATTTCACACGTGCTGGCCCCTCCTACTCAGCTTTGTCCAAAAACTCCACCCACACCTCCACATCCACAAACTGCTGGGGATTGCCTCGCTCTCCCTCAGAATCGGAATGCTCCTCCTGCTTCACGCTGCCTCCATCCACTTGTAGATTGGGTAATGGAGTCGAATCTTGCTCTTCACATTTCACCGTCACTTCTTCACATTTCACCGTCACTCCTGGCTGTGTTGCCAAGTTGGAATTTTCTTCTGATTCTCGTTTCACGAGAGACAGGCTCATTGCAGCATGCTGACTTTCACAAGTAGATTGCACTTTCTCCTTGTGGATCTTCTCATGCCTCTTTAGCTTTCCTGATAATGTAAACTCCTTTCCACACACAGTGCACTTGAAGGGCTTCTCACCTGTGTGTGTTCTATTATGTTTCTTAAGATATGCTGACTCTGCAAATGCCTTACCACATACACTGCACGTGAAGGGCTTCTCGCCTATGTGTGTTCTCTGATGAATTTTAAGAGTTTTTGAATGAGCAAATGACTTGCCACACACAGTGCACTTAAAGGGCTTCTCACCTGTGTGTGTTCTCTGATGAATGTGAAGAGTTAATGGTTGAGCAAATGCCTTCCCACACACAGTGCACTTGAAGGGCTTCTCACCGGTGTGTGTTCTCTGATGAATATGAAGAGTTTCTGAACGAGCAAATGTCTTGCCACACACAGTGCACTTGAAGGGCTTCTCACCCGTGTGTGTTCTATTATGTTTCTTAAGATGTGCTAACTCTGTAAATGCCTTACCACATAAACTGCACTTGAAGGGCTTCTCACCTGTGTGTGTTCTCTGATGAATTTTAAGAGTTTTTGAATGAGCAAATGACTTGCCACACACAATGCACTTAAAGGGCTTTTCACCAGTGTGTGTTCTCTGATGAATGTGAAGAGTTAATGGTTGAGCAAATGCCTTCCCACACACAGTGCACTTGAAAGGCTTCTCACCGGTGTGTGTTCTATTATGTTTCTTAAGATGTGCTAACTCTGTAAATGCCTTACCACATACACTGCACTTGAAGGGATTCTCACCTATGTGTGTTCTCTGGTGAATTTTAAGAGTATTTGATTGAGCAAATGACTTCCCACACAAAATGCACTTGAAGGGCTTCTCAACTGTGTGTGTTCTATTATGTTTCTGAAGATTTTCTGACTCTGCAAAAGCCTTACCACATACACTGCACTTGAAAGGCTTTTCACCTGTGTGTGTACTTTGATGAAGAGTTTCTGAACAAGCAGATGCCTTCCCATACACAGTGCACTTGAAGGCCTTCTCGACCGTGTGTGTTCTATTATGTTTCTTAAGATATGCTGACTCTGCAAATGCCTTACCACATACACTGCACTTGAAGGGCTTCTCGCCTGTGTGTGTTCTCTGATGAATTTTAAGAGTTTTTGAATGAGGAAATGACTTCCCACACACAGTGCACTTGAAGGGCTTCTCACCGGTATGTGTTCTCTGATGAATATGAAGAGTTTCTGAACGAGCAAATGTCTTGCCACACACAGTGCATTTGAAGGGCTTCTCGCCCGTGTGTGTTCTATTATGTTTCTTAAGATGTGATGACTCTGCAAATGCCTTATCACATACACTGCACTTGAAGGGCTTCTCACCAGTGTGAGTTCTCTGATGAATTTTAAGAGTTTTTGATTGAGCAAATGACTTCCCACACACATTGCACTTGAAGGGCTTCTCACCGGTGTGTGTTCTCTGATGAATATGAAGAGTTAATGGTTGAGCAAATGCCTTTCCACACACAGTGCACGTGAAGGGCTTCTCACCGGTGTGTGTTCGCTGATGAATATGAAGAATGTCTGAATGAGCAAATGCTTTCCCACACACAGTGCACTTGAAGGGCTTCTCACCGGTGTGGGTTCTCTGATGAATATGAAGCGTTTCTGAACGAGAAAATGCCTTGTCACACACAGTGCACTTGACGGGCTTCTCGCCCGTGTGTGTTCTATTATGTTTCCTAAGATATGTTGACTCTGCAAATGCCTTACCACATACACTGCACTTGAAGGGCTTCTCGCCAGTGTGAGTTCTCTGATGAATTTTAAGAGTTTTTGATTGAGCAAATGACTTCCCACACACATTGCACTTGAAGGGCTTCTCACCGGTGTGTGTTCTCTGATGAATATGAAGAGTTAATGGTTGAGCAAACGCCTTTCCACACACAGTGCACTTGAAGGGCTTCTCACCGGTGTGTGTTCGCTGATGAACAAGAAGAACGTCTGAATGAGCAAATGCTTTCTCACACACAGTGCACTTGAAGGGCTTCTCACCGGTGTGTGTTCTCTGATGAATATGAAGCGTTTCTGAACGAGCAAATGCCTTGCCACACACAGTGCACTTGAAGGGCTTCTCGCCCGTGTGTGTTCTATTATGTTTCTTAAGATATGTTGACTCTGCAAATGCCTTACCACATACACTGCACTTGAAGGGCTTCTCGCCAGTGTGTTTTCTCTGATGTCTCTTCAAGTTACCCATCTGATCTGTGCTGTATGGACACTGGATGCATTGGTGACTTTTACTTCCAGCCTTTGCCGAGCCTCTCTTCTTCATGTGATTGATTCGGTCTCCCTCAGAATCGGAATGTTCCTCCTGCTTCACGCTGCCTCCATGCACTTGTAGAGTGGCTCCTGGAGTCGAATCTTGATCTTCATATTTCACCGTCACTTCTTCACATTTCACTTCTTCACATTTTACTGTCACTCCTGGCCGTGTTGCCAAGTTAGAATTTTCTTCTGATCTCCGTTTGGGGGTCATTGCAGCATGTTGACTTTCACAAGTCGATTTCACTTTCTTCTTGTGGATCTTCTCATGCCTCTTTAGGTTTCTTGATAATATAAACTCCTTCCCACACATAGTGCACTTGAAAGCATTCTCATCTGAATGTTTTCTCTGATGTCTCTTCAAGTTATCCATCCGATCTGTGCTGTATGGACACTGGATGCATTGGTGCCTTTCACTTCCAGGCTTTGCCGAGCCTCTCTTCTCCATGTGATTGATTCTGCAGACACATACATATTACACACAACATACAGGTAGACCTCGCTTAGTGCGAACCTTCAAAGTGCAGATTTGTTACTCTTTGTCCTGGATATTTTTGTTCTGATATTTTTTTTTAAGTTTACAAAGTGCTCACAAGTGAGAACACGCAGCAGCGCGAGCCAAGCAAACGTACCCAGCCCCATTGTTCGCTCGGCCAATGAGACCCCAACCCCCGCTATTTAATGATCACGGTTCGTGGTCATGATTATATTTAAAAAAGACATTGACTCGTTTAGCCAGTTGAGAATTCACACGACCAGGTTAGTCTCAGGCTCCATCTAAAAAAACCTCACCATACAAATTTATATTGAGGTCTGCACTAAGATTAGGGAGGTCCTGAAGCCTTTCTCTGAGAATGACCCAGACTGGAAGAGCAGCAGCTCCTTCAACCTTGTCTCCCTCCACTGACTTGTAGGATTAGTAAAGTAGAATGCACTCGTAAGTATAGTACATAAAACTGATGTTATAAATCATTATTTGTATTAAATGTTTAGCATTTGTATTCTTATTAGCGCTATTACAGATACTCCAATGAAGCCCTCATATATTATTCATACTTAAGATATAACATTGTCAGAAACGCATCCCTATGTAGTATACAATGGGTTTATGATGATACCTTGCAGCGCTGATCGATTGGCGCTCAATTATCCAGGAACAATGCATCTGGAGGAGCGCTACGCGAGCTTTAGGTGTAAAGGGCAAGGGCACCCACACCGACTGTGGAAGCTACTGGTCAGTCTGCCTCCTCTCTCAGTGACAGGACAGGTTTTGCCCACGCACTGTCCAAGCAGGCTGGACCCACTGCCGTGCAAACGTCACCAATCCAGCATTCCAGGTTCACCATTCTGGTCAAATGAAGCGGTCACCCTGATTAGTAAGACAGAGTCGATAGATATAATTAAGTCCGTCTTGTAAACTCACCCCTTTAAACGTTGTCTTTTTGTGTGTGTTGGCACAGTAGAGGGCACTGGTGGTGCATCAGCCAGTAATCTCAGTCATCTCAGTCAGTCGACCCGTGGCACCTGGGTCTGCCCCGTGACCTCCTGCCAGCGGGCGTTCGACACTTCACGTGGCCTCAAGGTGCACATGGCCTGGCACAAGCGTCGTGGTGACGTTACCGCCACTTAGTGGCGAATGGCGGTTGTTGTTGTGTGTGTGTGGGCGGTAGCGTATCGGTTAGCGCGCTGTGGTATGAACCCGGTGACCCGGGTTCGATTTCCCCCCAAAGCCAACACGAGTGACACATATCTGAACTGGTCCTAGGCCTCCCCTAGGTCAACTCGGCCTCAAATGAGTACCTGGTGCGGTGTGTAAACATCGCCACTCGGGAGACAAAGGCAGTCCGGGCGTGGTGTTGGTCACCCACCCCTTCGTGTGCCGTGCCGGCCTTCATAGATGCTCGCTAACAGTGGGTGAGTGTGTAAGTGTATGAGTGGGAGCGTGTGGGTGAGCGTGTTGGTGGGCGAGTGTAATTGTGTAATGCTTTGACGTCTCATTCCGACTAAAATTAAACGTCTGGACTGGTATCGTCCGAATATGCCAGTGTTGACAAGCGGCCTGCAGATTCATACTCTGGTTATATTCGGTAAAGTCACGTAGGTAAAAAATAAAACAAAAAATCACGACGTTGCGGCCACAACACAAGCGGCCTTCATCAGGTGAAGGGACCAGACTGTCTCGAGGACAGCGCTGGAGTGAAACACAGCCAAGCTCAGACCGCGACCTTTAAGCTGTGTGAGAGAAATTAAGGTGCCTTGACAAAGGAATTCGCATAAAAACTTGCATTTAATTGGCCGACTTAGCATGATGAACGGTGTAGAGGTGGTGTACATGCGGGTGAACATGCCGGTTGGCGAGGGGGGGAGTTTACCTATTGATGGTGTGAAAAGGGAATTTTTAGAGCTGCGAAAGTTTGGGGTGAGCTTGTCAGTTTCACTCCAGCGCTGTCCTCTAGACAGTCTGGTCCCGTCACCTGATGAAGGCCACTTGTGTTGTGGCCGAAACGTCGTGATTTTTGTTGATTTATTTTTTTACCTACGTGACTTTACCGAATAGAACCAAAGAGTATGGATCCTTGCAGTCACGAAAGCTTCAAATCTAGGCCTGCAGATTACTCAATTTGGAATACGCGCAGAAGCATCGCCCTCCCCCCACCCCCAAATGCAAAACAAAGCAAAAACTCGATGATCCTGAACTAGAGTATGGAGACTCTGAGAGGTGAAGTAGTCAGCCAGGTGAAGACAAATTAAACTTAAGACAACTTAAGAGAATCAAAGCAAAGTCAGTCAGGCAAGGGCAGGAGGCAAGGCCTGCATCGCTCGGCCCCACGTAGCAACGTTCCAACCTGGACATCGATTCCATACTTGCCGCTACTCAATTGCTATCACTACGAGAGAGAGAGGGAAGAAGCGAGGCTGTACCTGGGTGAACAACAACAACAACAACCAACATCACGATGTGAACGTCTCACCTCCAATCCTAGAGAGTTGCGCGCACAGAAGCAGCTCCTGGGATCTCGTGACGTCACACGGAAGCGCGCGGCAGGGTAGATGACATGACGTCACTAGCACCCACCACCTCCCCGCAAGTCAACGGGGGTATATGAATAAATTATGTTGTGAAGCAGCTCCTGGAAATCTCGTGACGTCACACGGAAGCGCGCGGCGGGGTAGATGACATGACGTCACTAGCACCCATCGCCTCTCCGCAAGTCAACGGGGATGTGAATAAATTATGTTAACGAGACGTGCCCATATATGGAGTGAATGGGCGTTCATAGTTTAATTTGGCAGCTGATCCGCACATGACCCTGCGACATAATTAATGCGTAATTTACGTTGATGAAACGCCAGTGGTATTTGCTTTACTGGAATGGAAATCGGAAGCGACCAAGCAGACTCAACGTCACGTCCGCTTGTTTAGACGTGGAGTTTCCTTGATGACATGACGTCACTAGCGGGGTACACCTCCCCCTGGGAGGGCTCGCGGTCACGCGGAGGGGTGACGTCAGAGGCGGCGAATGGGTGGATTCTTACCCTCAAATTTCCGTTTCGCCATATAGCATTGTGATATATAACGACTTATGGTTGGTAGCTTAGCTGATTGGAGAATATAGAGTTTATTGATAACATGAAGGTAATTTATATTTTAGTTTTTATTGGTTCACTATATAGTACTGTGAATAGCTCAGATGTGTAGTCATTTCTGTGACCAGTCACTAGCAAATCACCCAGTTATTTCAATGCTAAATTCGCCTAGTTATTTCAATGCTAAATTCTCCTGTTTGATTTGTACTAAGTGCCTCGGTGAATGTGTATGCTCTGACTTCAACGTAACTATTTCTGTAGCAGTTACAAGCGAGTCACTCAGCCATTTCAATGCTAAATTCTATGCTAATCCCATTGTCAAGGGGTGCCTCTGCGGATGTGTATGCCTTAACTTAGCTATTTCAATGCTAAATTCTATGCTAATTCCTTTTAACAATGGGTGCCTCTGCAGATGTGTATGCTTTAACTTTTAACATAGCTATTTCTGTGACCAGTCACTAGCTAATCATTCAGCCATTTCAATGCTAAATTTTATGCTAATCCCTTTGTCAAGGCTCTTTGTTCCTCTCACACAGCTTAAAAGCCGTGATCTGAACGTGGCTCTCTCACTCCAGCGCTGTCCTACCAGACAGTCTCGCCCCCTTCACCTGATGAAGGCCGCTTGTGTTGTGGCCGAAACGTCGTGAGAATATTATTGTGTTATTTTATTTTATCAATTTATTATTTTATTCTCATTCTACGTGACTTTACCGAAAGAACCAAAGAAGATGAATCATTGCAGTCACGAAAGCTTTAAATCGAAACCACAAGACAACTTAGATTAAGGCCATCAGTCTAACTCCGTACTACAACAAACAAAAACATGGCCAAACCAAAACACGTTTTCGAAATTACCAAAATAAAGCCATAAATGCAATGTAACAGTGATCATAGGGACTGTGACCGATTTTTTTTACAATAAACTACATAAATAACATGTAACACCAAACCCTAGAGCCATAGCTGGCTGCATGAGTCACTCCACAATAACAGGAGCATAAGTCGGAGTATCACATTTTTCAATGCACCTTTAAGATCAGCACACTAAATCAAAATGCAGATAATACTTTGCAGCGGTCATCCGGAGCGAAACATTTTATTTTATTTTAGGCCACTGAATAGCAGTGGCAGCGAGGGGTGGACAACTCCTTTAGAGCATATTCTTGGTTCTTTCGGTAAAGTCACGTAGAAGGCTTAGCAATTATTGGAAGGATTTGATAAACCATTTCGGGTCTTAATTGATTGTTCACGCTTACGGTGGCTTTCAGACCGCATCCATTATTTTCGTCTCCCCATCCTCTTTTCCGAACATAGATGGACTCGTCCATCTGATCACTCTCCGTGGTGCTAACGTTAAAAAAACGCCACTTTTTTCAAATTTTCTTGCTGTGGTTTTCACACCTGATGATGATTGCTTGTGTTGCAGTCGAAACCTCGTGAGAATTTTAATGTTTTATATTTTTATTATTTTATTGTTTCCCTTCTACGTGACTTTACTGAAAGAACCAAGAATATGAATCCTTGCAGTCACGAAAGCTGTAAATCAAAATTTAACCTCCTCGAGAGCAGTTTTGATTTCATAGGTAGTGATTCAAGTTGCAGTTTATTGGGAATAGGATTCCAGACCCTCGGGGCATCAATAGCAAAGGCCCTTCCTCCGGTTTTTATATGGCAATAGGGGATGTGAAGCTGGTAAATGAGCGAAGACCTGAGGTCAAATTTGTTCTTTGAAACAGAGAGGAGATCCAGCAGGTAGACTGCGGATTTTTTTGTAAGTACATCGTGAATAAATAAGATCTGGTGCACAAGCCGTCGAACATTAAGAGATGTTAAGTTTGACCCAATGTAGAGATGTTAAGTTTGACCCAATGTAGCGCTGCCCTACGAACCCGCCGTCCCTAGTTCGATTCCTGCTCACGGCTGACAATGGCGACGATTATCTGAATCGGTCTCGGGCCTCCCCTAAGGTCGGCTCAGCCTCACAAATATTGCCACTGGGGAGACAAAGGCGGCCGGGCGTGGTGCTGGCCACCCACCCCTTCGTGTACCGTGCCGGCCTTCATAGGCGCCTGACAACAGTACATGCCCCAACAGTCTGTTATTGCAATCGGGGGGAAATCTTAACATTAGGCTTTGTGTGGACAATAGTATTATTTAGATGTTTTCTTAGTGTGCATTAATATATCGTTATTTATTGTTTAACGTCTTTCTTAGCAGTCTGTTTGGCACGCGTAATTTTTCCTTTCGTGTGCGTTTGAGTCAACATATGCCTCTGTGTACCGTATTTGTGTAGAGGTGTTATTCCGCACCCCCATGTTGTCAGTGGGTAGCATCACTATTGGGTCAACAGGGGGCGGAAGATGGGCTACACCAATGTGAAGGGGCTATGGCCAAAGGGAGCCAACGGTGATCTCCGGGATAACGGATCCTGGGACACAATCCACAAACCCCGGGTGGGGAGATTGGGGGATGACGTCACCCTTCCAGGACCTGGTGGAAGGTTCTGGAAGGAAGGCGGGGCCGGGGCGGAGGAAGCCCCGAACCGGGATATGTCTGACCTCTGAACGATAGTCAGTCTCTTCCACTCCGAAGACCCGGGCTGAAGCTAAGACCCTGGACCCCAAGCTCCCCCGTCCTTCTAAGGGCCGGAGCTCAGTGAGGCCAGTGGTCAGGACCCGACGACCCGGGCACAGTCGGGTCAGCATAGCCTCCCCTAGGGCCCCAGCCGGAGGTCGGGGAATTAGCAGGGTCCCCAGTGTTAGGACAGTGTAGCCCGGAGGCCATACCTCCCAAGGTATTGGGTAAAGGAGCCGCTACCCTTTTGTGTTAGGGACCCTGTAGAAAACAGTAATAAATATTGTGTTGCCTCAACTGGTGTCTCCCCTGGTTTCTGATCCATTACATTTGTATTACAGGGAGTCCCCGATTTACCTCGGGGTTAGGGATCGAGACATTGCGACTTATAACGAAACGATGTATAGCGGGGGGACTTTCCCGCATAGGAATACATGAAAATGGGGGTAGGGGATATGGACCGGAAGAGTTTGAACATTACTTATGCGACGCAGAGCAGGGACATTTCTCCCATAAGAAACAATGAATTTAGGTAGGGATAGCAAACGCAATTTAGAGAAATATTTTGCTTCATAACTAGTAACCAAAAAACGTACTTCACATATACAGAAGACCAGGTACTGTGCAACACAATGCACACATAACCACTTAAGTTCAAGAACCTTTAAACAGCATTCATACGTATCAAACACTTAATTGAAAACCATTTTAATGACCATTTCAAATAAGCACAGTACACTTTAAAACGTTTTCTTTTTTAATAGAAAACGTATTTGTGACCTTTTTAAGCAACGACTCAAACAGAAAAAAAAATTCGCAGTTAAAATATTTTACCTTAACCCATAATTTTTATCTCACCTTGAGTGGATGAGTTGTAGTAAATGGTTGCGACGATATGTTGTGATAAAGTCCACACCGATTACAATGAGCAGTCAGTTCACGAGAGACAGTGGAACTGAGAAGATGGTGGTGCACGAGTTGTAGAATACACCTACACCTACCCCCTCCCCAGGGTCGAAAATGATAATAAATACACTCCTTAAAAATATATATTTTTAAAATGGTTTTATTTTTAAGTGCATTCAAAAGTAAAAAATATATTTATTTCAGCCATCACTAGCTTATCAGAATTTGTCGACATTTGTAACTAAAACATTAAACCGTGGAGCGCTCCTTTAATATTTTAATGCATGAGTTTCTTTAGAATGTTTTAGTTTGATGAAAGTGTATGTGTGATAGAATGTATGTAAAAAAATATTTTCAATATATATAAAAGGGAAATTTGTGATTGTGTGTCTGTTCAAAATGTTTAGCGTACTTCCCGACATGCAACAAACTTGAAATTTGCCATGTGGGTACTTTCCAGACTGTACACCATGCAAAAATGAAAAAAAAAAGACTTTTGGATTTTTTTTGGTGGGGGAGCCCAATAATGCATATATTTTTGCATGGCAAGTGAGCTGTGACGTCACATCTGTCATGTGACCCGTGTGCGGAAGCGTAACGGAGTGTGCCTGCTGATCGCGGGTAAAGTGAAATACAAATGTGTTGCAGGCCTAAGGCGTTCTTCGTGCAGCATTGCTTTATTATTGCAGTCATTTACTGCCATACGCACCCTGAAAGTTGTGTGTCTGCAGCAGGCGCGTGTATGTGGGGGGGAGCGGTAGTGTAGTGGTTAGTGCGCCGCGCTACGAACCCGGCGATCCGAGTTTGATTCCCGCTCACGGCCACCACCGGCGACGATTATTTTAACCGCTCCTGGGCCTCCCCTCGCCTCAAACGAGTAACTGGTGTGGTGTGGGAACATCGCCACTGGGGAGACAAAGGCGACCGGGCGTGGTGTTGGCCACCCCACCCCCTCGTGAATGAATGATGAAGCCACTGGGGCAGATTCAAAACTATTTCCTATAGAACAGTTTTTCTTGCGTGTTTAGTTTGT